GCAGTTGAACCAACAGGAGATGTTGCACTAGGAATGTTACAACTTATCTCGTGCAATTTTGTTGCAAAGTGCATTGCAGTTGCACCAACAGGAGACGTTGCACTACGAATGCTACAATTGTCTTGTGCAATTTTGTTGCAAAGTGAATTGCAGTTGCACTGACAGGGAATGTCTTTGTTTGTAGTTCAACTAAATTGTTGATAACTAAATACTTTGAAGCAATACATGCACTCTACTTTTAAGTTTTATGGTAGTCTACAGTTTTGTTACCTCGTTCATCGGCAGAAAAGTGCATGGTCCAAAAGCTGTTCCCATTTGTGAGATTCAGAAAATACTTTAACTTCATTCCCTTTGGAAAAATAATATTATAGAGGTTAACATTATTGACCTGCAGTATTTTGAATTTGGTAAAAGAAAAATATCAGATATTTTTTAAACCATTTAAATTAAAGAAACACAAACTATATAGAGCAGGTGCACGTTACATCATTGCCGCCATCTTGGTTGACAATAACAAAGCATTCCCCATAGCTTCTCTTGCTAGATCAACCAAGATGGCAGCTGTTTCATCGTTATTCATATCTCAAGGGATTTTGAGTATCATACTGTACAGGGCCCAATTGTTCAAAGCCCAATTAGTGCTAATCCTGGGTTAACTCTTAATAAGACCTATAGAGTTAATTCTGGATTAGCGCTAATCCAGCTCTGAACATCCCGGCCCAGTAATATTAATGTAATTTTTTTTAAACACGTCAATTGAAATATTGAAAAGCTATTTAATACGTACAGTAATGAAATATATGATTGGCCATTCAGAAGTTGAGGAAATAACTGTGTCAGGTTGGCATTCGGTGCATTCTAGAATTGTTACCTGGGACATATTTCCAAGATGGCATCTATTTCATCCCCTTAAACAGTCCCACAATGCACTGCAACTCCACCTGGACCCAGTTTTCCCTCAAGTCTATCTCAGTAGTTGCTAAAATACCTTTGTTGTCTTGCAGTTGCTAACAGCAATATACCACCACCTGGCTCTGATGGATAAAAATCTTCTATCACCTATATATCACACAAAGGAAAACACTGTCATTAATCCATGACGCAAAGGGCGGTTTAGGCTCTAAGAAATATCATTCTTCATTAGGGTAAGTACTGGTTTTACAGTTTATAATATAGTATTGTAATATATATCATAGGAGAAAATATCCACTATAAGACTTCCACCACGGAGTGGGATTGGAAGGGGTGTGGAGGATCTGAGGAGGGTATTTTTTGTGTTCGAGAAAATATCCATACTTGCACCATGGTGTGGGATTGGAATTTGCAAGGGGTTGGGAAGGTCTGAGGAGGGTATATTGTGTAATTCCAGAAAACTAGGGGTGGGTAGTAAGGAATATTGTCTTGAATGGGTAGCTCCAGGAAATACCCATACCCCTACCACAGGTGCCATTTTCAAAATCAGAAGGAGAGTTTTTAGATCAAGAATTCCAAAGGAGAGGGGGGCATCTTGGTCTGAAATTTCAAAAGGCGAGGGGCGAGAATTGTGAAAAGAAAGGCGAGGGGTGAGAATGTGAAAAGAGGGGCGAGGGGCGAGAATAGTGAAAAGAAGGGCAAGGGGTGAGAATTGTGAAAACAGAGGCGAGGGGCGAGAATGTGAAA